TAGGATGTTCTAAGTTCTAGGAAAACCATACATTTCAATAATGTTTTTATTGCAAAGTAAAAATATAGCTTGGTTCTTTTCACTCATTTTAAATGATTTTTATTCCTTATCCTTAAAGTCACATGGTGTGGACCATATATATATGCTGGATACCCATGCTCCGCTATGAAACTATGTGATCGGGCTTGATAAATCGACACTTACAGCTTGAAAATTAATGAGTAGTTATGATCGGCCTCTCTCTCCCCTTCTCTCCCTCAGGCTTGCCCCACAGAAGCCTCTCCTCTCCTTTTTTTAATTTTTTTTTCAAAAAACCTTTATTAAAGTTTAAAATATTAAAATACTAATACAAATACATCTGTAACAAAAATACGTCCATGATGGTTGTACAATTCAATGTCGTTCCAACAGTACACAAATCTTAACTTTATTCATATATTCTCAGATATTCCTTCTTGATCAAATATATGTAAACACAATTTATGTCTTATTTTGATCTATATATTTCCTATTTTTATTTTCTATCCATTGATACCAGTTTTCCCAGGTTGAGTATTATTCTGAGTCTCCCTGTTATTTAATTCTATAGTAAGTTTGTCCATTTCTGCACACTCAAAAATTTTCTGGATTATTACACAATCTGTCGGTGTAGTGGACATTTTCCAGGCTTATGCGAGTACAATTCTCGCTTCTGTTATAATATGAATAATCAAATATTTAATCTTTTTAGGATATATCCTACCCTAAGAAGCCTCTCCTCTCCTATCCCCCTTCTTTCCTTCAGGCTGGCCCCATTGATCCTCTCCTATCCCCTTCTCTCCCTCAGGATTGCCCCACAGAAGCCTCTCCTATATTATCTCCTTCTCTCCCTCAGGCTGCCCCAATGATTCTATCCTATCCCCTTCTCTCCCTCAGGTTTGCCCCATAAAAGCCTCTCCCATCTTATCCCCTTCTCTCCCTCAGGCTGGCCCCAATGATTATCTCCGATCCCCTTCTTTCCCTTTCAGGTGGGGAGTAGAATGTCTAAACTACCAGCCCACAGGCCAGATGCACCTGATCAAACCAATCACTTTATTCACCATTGATATTTTATAGCCCTGCAACAAACCTTTTTAGCAATCATATGGGAAATGAAATAAGTTAGTCTATCAGTTACAGGACTCCTTCCTCTTTAATTGTAAAATTTGATTGGTGCAACAAATTTTGCTCCTTTTATCATGTGCGAAAACATGACTTGAATCAGCTTCTTTGTAATAAAGCAATAATGGTCACTTGAAATCATATATTTTTACTTTGTCCTATAACAGTACTTTGACCACATGGGCAAATAAGTTGGAGAATATGATAATATCCAATAACGGATATGATAATATCCAGTAATGACTATCCAATAATGAATTAATTTATTTATAAAATTTAATTCCTTCCTTCCTTCCTTCCTTCCTTCCTTCCTTCCTTCCTTCCTTCCTCTAGAACCCATCAAAAACATCTTTCTAGCAAATAAGACCCATAGTATGCCACTTTTTTGTACTTATGATATCTCACACTGCAGAACACCATACAGTAGGGGCCAAAGGCAGCATCTCTTCCCCAATCACCACTGTCTGGAATGCACCCTAGAGAAAGTAGGCGAACCAGCACAACACAATAATCCTTTGAGTTAATGGTTGGAAGATAAATCTAAAATTAAAACCAAATTAGAATGGAAGCTGGAAAATATATTTTTTTATGGAAGGTGGAAAGAAATGGGCTGAAAGCATAAGCAATCTTCTCCTGAAGTTTCATTGGGAAATTTGGAGTAAATATAAAGGGACGCTGCTTCCGAAGAACTCTCCATTATCACCGGTTATAATCTTGGAAAAGTTCCCAGGGAATTTGAAGAATAAAGTGAATAAAATTTTAAAAGAGAAAAATAAAATGAAACTAAGGGAATGGTTAGGAGGAATGAGGACACATGGGAAATTGGAAGAGGTTCTAGGAGGAAAACGGTTGTCTTGGTTAAATTACACCCAAGTGGAACAATGGACTAAAAACTGGATAAGAGAAAATGGAGAGTGTAGAGAGTTAACAAGGTTTGAGGAATTAATTGAAAAAAAAATGAAACTGTAAAGGAAGAAAATAAAGGGATAAAAGGCTTAATGAGTGGAATTTATAAAATATTGTTGGAGGAAGAGGAGAGGGAAAATTTAGGAAAGGTGGTATGGGAAACCGATTTGAAGATACAAATAGGGCAACAGAGTTGGGAAAGAATTTGGCAACAAAGAGTGTTGAGAAATATATCAGTAAGAATAAAAGAGAATTATTACAAAACGGTATGGAGATGGTACTTAACTCTGGTTAGATTAAACAATATGAATCAGCACTATTCAGATAACTGCTGGAGAGGTTGTGGGGGAAAAGGAACATATTTACATATGTGGTGGGATTGTAAATTTGTGCAAAAATTGTGGAAGATGGTGTTTAAGGAGATTGAAGAAATTGTAGGCATAAAGGTAGAAGAGGCACCAAAGGTAGCATTACTCTCACTATTGGAAGATATAAAGTGTAAAAAAGAGACTAAAGAGTTGATAATAAATTTGTTGACTGCAGCAAGGTTAATGATTTCTAGGAACTGGAAGACACAAGGTGATTATTGTTTGGAAGAATAGTATAAGGAAGTATGGGATATTGCCATAAATGATAAACTGACTTGTAATATTAAAGTAAGGAGGGGCATAATGAAAGTAAATGAATTCAATGGAATCTGGAAACAGTTCCTAATATATGTGTTTTCTGGAGGAAGGGGGATACCACTACCAGAAGAAGCTTTAAAATTTTGGAAGCATGAATGATCCCGAGGGGTGGGGGAGCACTTGTTGATTGTTTGTATTATGTATATTGTTATATATTATATATTATGATTCATGTATAAGTAAAATTCTAAAAATAAAATAAAAAAAATAATCCTTTGAGTTGATATAGAAGAGTAGAATGTTTGTTGGTTTTACAGACATTTGGATCTAAACAGGAGGTGGCTGAGCTCACCGATCCATTTTCTCAAGCTCAATAGATTTACTATGCACTATTCCCAGATATTGAATCCAGACTCTTCCACAGGCATTAGCCCCCTGGATCTATGAACAAAGTTCAGCAATCTTGTCTGATAGATGCTGACATAATCAAGGGATGTGTGCTGCAACTCAGCAAGTGAGAATTCTGAGCTATAATTCTCTCCATTTATCATTGCAGTTCCACGGTCATTAAAATTCGGATACTTGGTAATCAGAAACACAATCATTGGCTTATTTATCATATTTTAAAACCACTTATATCATTCACAGAGGCCTCTGAGTGATATATCAATGAAATATTAAAATCTTGTAAACAGTATATGAAAATGGAAAGCAGCAAGGGAGCAACATGTTAAGGGCCTTTTTGTGAACGTTATCAACTTCTCATTCAGACTGAATCTTAACATCTATCAGTGACATAAAAGAAGTCATGTACCCTGCAATCCTATGCTATAATAAACCAGCAGACCCAGATTAGATATGGTCACAGTATGTGCTAATTTATAGGAACAGGTAGAAGAAAATTAGAATTCCAATTGTTCAGAATGTACAATTGTGGGCAATTGTCCATAACAGCAAAATGGGTTCCCTTCTATTTTCATCTTTCTGTATCCTGTATAGCAATTGTCATTGCATACAGAAAGTGGCTGAACCTATCAAGAAGTGAATTCAGGGTTTATTACAAGGCATGCATTTTCCTTTCTAAAATTCTATTTCTGTATGGATTTTACTTTTAAATAATAAATGTTGGATGTGGATGTTTCAAAATCTCCTTGATTTAGAGAAATTTTAGTGAATTACAGGTAATGAGAGCTAGAATCAAAAGTGAAGGTGGGCACCCTAAGAATTGGAGAGGTGAATCATTTGGCCAGGCCAAAGTCAAAATGCAGAAGAAATTAGTTAGAAATAGAGATGTATATATTTACTTTGAGTTTCAATTTCATTCTTTCCTTTTGCCCCCAAAAGGACCAGGGGTTCTGTCTCAACTAGGGTTAACATGATCATTGATATGGGATTCCCCATTTCTTTTTGCTTCCCAGCCATGTCAGGAAAGTAAACACCATGTAGGATATGACCACGTTTAATGTGAGAGTGCAGTGAAAAGCATAAAGTATCTGGGGTCCTTTTCCAATGAAAGAGACATAAGTCCAACCTCAAATGAAAACCCATTGACTCTTATCTTGGGCCAAATTGCCCTGATAGCAACAAAATCACATTCTTGTTCATAGATAGCATGAAATATTTTTTTTTAGTACTTTTGAACCCCACCTTTGTTACTGACTTCTTGTCCCTGACATGCCAATTGTCTTCGTTCGGATGGCTTATAGACCTGCTTCCATTAGGAAGGCTAAAAAGAAATGTCATGATTTAATTGCATTACAAATACAATACTCAAAGTGCTTAAAGACCTCTCAAAAGAATAAATAAAGGTGAGTGGGATCCTATAACATGATGGGCCAATTTCCCTTTGGCTCTTTGGAAAAATCATATTTTAATGTCCTCCCTAACAGGTCAAAATCAGATAGTTCTATTGTTCCAGAGGATTAAAACTTTACAGCTATAGAACTAGCATTTGTTCATTTGAATTTTCCTTCTTTTTCTCTTTTACAGTTTTCAGTAATGAGCTCTTATGTTTCCTAGCCCATTAATATCATCATTCTACTTAATCCACAAAGTCTCTGAGGAGTTTCAACAAACATTCCTTTCCCCTATAATTAATGTGGCTTCTTCTCAACTCTTTTAGGAATTCTCAGGCACAGCACAAAAAAGTAGCTCAAGCTTGAAAGGGTCTGTTAATTACAGGACTAGAATATAATATTTATGCAGGCTATTCTGATTAAATTCCCCTCCTTATGTTTCATTCTTACAGATGGAACTTTTTCATATGTAGGGAGAAATGTTTTCTTGAAGAAGATGGAATTTTTCAGGGTGGTGATGGCAATATTGTCAATGTCACTGTCAGGAATTACATGCATTATTTTGCGTACTAAAGCATGTTCTGTGGGGAAAACTCCTCTCATTCAGCACAAGTATTTTCTGCCAGGAGATTTCATAATAGCTGGGATAATATCTCAGTTCTACCTGCCATCTGATCGAGTGGATTTCAGAAGACATCCATCTGAAGAACTGGTTGATGAGCTCGTGTAAAGATCTCTCTTCTTAAGTGTAGCATATCTTTAGCCGTATATCTTTCTCTAATAAATAGGTTGCCCATATTTAATTAGTTATTGTTATTATTTGTGTCACAGATTCTTTGTTCTATCACTTGCCTTTTAGTTCCTTCATTCTGAAATCAGTATAGATTGATCAGACTGATATTTCTTACCTGGCAAATAAATACACAAACACACTTGTGATGACTGTCACACTTCTGTTTTTATTCAAAATCCATATTGAAATTTTCTTGTTTTGTTACTGTTCAATGATTCATTAGTGCTGTGCTATCAAATCACTATTTGTAGCTAAATCTATGTCAATCGTTTTATTTTTTCACTTAATATTAGGGAACAGTTGTGCTGTGTAGCGCTTGGCATTATTTGTTGAGCAGGCATGGAACCCAGATAAAGAAACATCAGTAACTTTTATTGGGATGAGGAAGTCCACTGAAGGTCTATCACGATCCTAGAAAAACAAAAGTTATTTATAAGATTTGTCCTCACAGTTTAGTTGAAACACATATTTCATGCCTGCACCCACCATAAAACAAACCCAGAAGAAGATAAAACTACAAGACTAGAAATTACATAATATGCAATAAGAATTACATATAGGTTGTCAGAGTCTCACCGCTGGCATAGAGAGGAGAGAGATAAACCCTGAACTTTTGCCTGCTAAATCCCTTTGAAGCCCGGTCATCGTGGAAATGAGGAGGGGGGAGACATTCCTGTGAAATGACGAGACAAGAAGTCAGTGGAGTGACTTGGAAGATAGCCAATGAGAAGCAGATAATTGGGGATCGGAAAGGGAGGGATTGGGGGGCAAAAGGTCAGTCTTGTCCATCTGTCAGACTTCGATGCTATCTCATAATAAATGAATTTCCAAACTGTGGTGAGACGCTGACATAGGTTTTAATATGATTATTTTCCTTCAAGCAAGCTGTTTTCTAGTGAAAATTGTTTTATAGTGAATTAAAGAATCATAACAACCTGCCTATATCCACTCAATGTATCTTTCATTGCAGATTTTTCCTGCAGAACTACCAACATATCCTTGCCTTGGTTTTTGCTGTCAAGGAGATCAATGAAAATAATCATATATTACCCAACATGAGTCTGGGTACTGATATCTCTAATAGTTATTTCATGGCGAGTTGGACCTACTTGGCTTCAATGGAGCTTCTCTCAACACGGGGCAGATTCATCCCCAACTATAAGTGTGATGCCAAGGACTGGGCACTATCTGTCATTGCAGGACCTAACTCTCACATCTGTCCCTACATGGCCAACATCTTGAATGTCTACAAGATGCCCCAGGTGAGATTTCTGTTTTTCTTGGACTAAATATATATTGTAAGAATAACCTTGAAAGGCAGGAGGAACAACTGCAGTCCTATAAAGAAAGTCTGATATAGGGAATTTGAGCCTAAACAAGAGATATTATTTGAGAAAGCATCTCTGAATTGACCCCCTCCCCATTATCTGGAAAGTTAAAGCACCGGAGGGAAAAGTGTTTTCAGACTTGCAAGATTAATGTCAACCCTTCCAAATTGTCTAGGGTAGAAAACCAAAATCATGCATATTATTTTATTTATTTATTTATTTTATTTGTTTGTCAAACATGTACAAGGTAGCAGGAATAAGTATGAACATGAGCATGAAAAAAAGGAAGTAAATACAGTTAAATGGGGACAGTAAGAGAGGGACGGTAGGCACGCTGATGCACTTATGCATGCCCCCTTTACGGACCTCTTACAGACCTAATAATACTTTTATTGTAAGGTTACAGTAAGAGGTCTTAAACTATCTTTTTTTTTTCTTTTACAAATTTATGTTTATAAAAATACAACAAATACTGTAAACTAACTTTTTTTTTATTATTTTTTTGTGGTTTGGAAATAAAGTGACAATCCAAAGAACGAGGAACAACAAACCATGTGTTTGCAGAAGAGATGAATAATTTTAGACACTGTGCTTGGTGGGTTCCCCAATCTGAATTCAAACCAATTAGTGTACTAGGTTTTCTTTTCTTTTTTTATTATTGAAAAAGTTTTTCAAATACAAATTTTTCCCCCTTTTTTCTCCCCCCTCCTCCCTAACCCCCCCTCACCACCCCTCTCCCTGTGACTTCTTCAAAGTAAGATCCAGATTCATAACAGATTATATAATACTTTACCATCCCCTTACTCCATCCCCCTAATACTGACCCTTTCTTTCTAATAATATTATTACATCCCCCTTTTACTATACATTTCAAAATAACATTCTACTATAACATTGTATAATAACTTCTGATTTAGCATAATAATATTATTATAACTCCCAATTTAGCAATAATCTGCCCTTTTTCTCCTCCCCCATACATATATCTATATATTAATATTACATTTCAAAACAACCTTCCACTTTAAGACTATATAATAAATCCTAATTTAACATTTAATCTTTTGTGTATATTAATATAACATTTCAAAGCAGCCTTCCACTATAAAACTATATAATAAATCCTAATTTAACATTTATTCAGCTCATAGTCTATCCATTTCCTCCACTCCCATAAATATATCTCTTAAACATCCCTTTTCTTAAACTAAACAATCAATAAACTAGCCTGTCTCCACCCACTTTCCTACAAAATTACCATACATAACAATTCTTAATATCTTTATTCTTCTGCCCACCCTACTAAAAAAATATTCCCTTATATAGATAAAATCAATAACTTTAAATTTATAATCCATATAATGTCTTCTTTGATGTCTTTCCACTGGATTAACTCCATCACCCATATTAGGGTAACGTAACATCCTGATTGCAACAGAATGTTCAAAATCCTCAGTTATCATCTGTTCCCATCAATAATAAATATCTTCATGTATATAAAAAAAGAAAACAACCACCCGAGTGACATTATAATTGTATTCCATATAATATCTGTAATAGTGGTTTTCTTCAAGATTATTAATTCCCACCGTCATAATGGGGTGACAACCAGATCTTCTGCATGCCCCAGCATAGCTCTCTTGCCATGTAGCTCAGCATAAACATAATATATTTATCAAAAAAAAAAATCCAAAATAGATAATTCCAATCCAACAATTTAAGGCCATTTTCACATCCCAAAATTATAGCATTGCAGAGGTCTGTCACTCTCCTCTGGATAATATTAACCAATACTTCGCCTCAACTATATTTTCTTGTATTCAGTCTTCTTTTAAATAACTGGCTTCACTGTTGCCTAATTTAGAAATTTTTATTTTTGTGAGATCTATTTCTTTTTTTCTTGACTTTTTGTGGGTTTGATCTCCATCCTAATTTCCTTTCTACGAATTGTATGTCGACTGATCGGTTTTTGTTCTGATTTATAACTTGATCTTGTTGGTTTTGCTTTTGTGACTCATGTTTCTTTTCTATAAATTGTGTATCAACTAATTGATTTCCATGCTTGTCTGTAACTTGATGAATCATCACGTTAGAGTCCAATGCCACATCTCTCTTATTTATAGATAATCCAGCTGAGGTATCTAAAGAATCCAAAGGCAATTCAACTACAGAAACCTCTGTAACTCAATATTTTTCCTTTATTTCCAACTCCTTCTGCTTATCTTGTATTGTGCATAAAAATGTTGAACTCATTTTCAAAATTTTTTGGTGAAATTCTTCCGCTTTTTCAATAGTATTTAATTGGTATCTTTCTCCTTGATATCTCAATATTATACCAACTGGCGCATCCCACCTAAATAAAATATTTCGTTTTTTAAGTTCAGTCACCAGAAAACCAAATTTCTTTCTTTCCAATAACATCTTAGGCGGTAACTCTTTATATATCCATATCTTTCTTCCAAACAATTGCAAAGTAGAATTAAAAGATTTTTGCACAATATTATTTCTTATTTCTTTATCTGTAAAATAAATCACCACATCTCTAGGCAGAGACAGACTCTCACACAGACAAACTCTCTTAAAAAAGAAAAGAAAAGCAAAGAAAGAGAAAAAAAAAAGCTTCTTTCCAAACAAGATCAATATCAAATCTCCAGGAAAAAGAAGACATAAAAGTAGAACTTTTTCTTCAGTTGTAGCCAGCAATGTTTATTTCTCTACTTTGTAGCTTATTAAGAAACGGAAGGACTTTCCCTTTCAGCCCCTTCTCAAGCCTCGACAGTCGCCATTTTAAAAATTCTTTTTTCCTTCTTCAGTAACTTTTGTAAAATAAATGAAAATACTTGCGATTCAGGGTCACAGGTCCAGATCTCATCCTCTTTAATTAATCTGTTAGTTTTCTTTAATAGGCTTGTTCTCGTCGCCTGGCTCTGCAGAAAGGCAGAGGTCTCCCAAAGCCCAGAGCGGCAGCGGGGAAAATAGGGAGCCTCATCTGCTTTGTCTCCAAAAGTAAAAAAAAAACTTTTGGGGCTTCGCAGAGAGCTCTACCTGCCCTCACTGGCTCTATCTCGCATTTCCTCATGGAAATGGAGTTTTTCGAGCCGCCTTTCCATTGTAAAGGTGGCTCTTTACAGGTGATGGGGCTGGCGGTCCCGAGGGACCGTCTGGCAGCGACGAGGAGCAAACCGGAAGTTGTACTAGGTTTTCTTGACTTATTTACAAACACGATGAATAGAAGCACCAATACATTTTCATCAATACATTTTCCCACCATGTTTTAGTAATAATATTAAGGAGCCATGGACCTGATTAAGTAATGGAATAGTTATCATGATTTTTATATTTCCTTCCTTCCTTCCTTCCTTCCTTCCTTCCTTCCTTCCTTCCTTCCTTCCTTCCTTCCATCCATCCATCCATCCATCCATCCATGAATATTGTTCATGGTAATTTGAATCATTAAAAAAATGAAATGATGTAAAAATGAATGAAAACTACACATAAAATTAATATAAACGCCCTATGCATGAGTTAAAGTGAATTCCCTTATATCACACTCAAACACATCCTGTTTTAAATACCCTGAAAAGCATGAGGGTATTTAAGAAAAAGACCAGAACTAAAAGAGAAATAGCTGATTTATTACAATGCATATTACATATTCTTGCTGATACTTACTAACATTTGATAAACACAGAATCTTCTAATATTAGACAAATTTCTCCTCCTCCTAAAATCAGAATAATCAATTGATTAATAATTCTTAAGTAGGCATAGTCAGTTCCACTAGCTAGAATGTGTTAGGAGGTTTTCTATGGCAAATTGAATATGGTAGGACTGTAGATGTTTGAGACCCAAAATTATTGACTTATGTCTCTTTAAACAAAAGACGGTACTTCTGCTTCCCACAAATTAACTTTCCAAAGATTTAGCAATACTTGCTTTTCAGATCACACAATATTGGTTGCTCAGGAGCTGGATGTCGAACCCCAGTTTGGGGTTCGCCATACCTTGGGGGTGTAGACGGATGACTGAGCGAAGTGAGTGGCAAGCAAAGCTTTAGCAGCGGTTGCTACCTCTGGCTGCGCCGACCATCTCTTTGTTGGGTGCCCGGGCTGCTTCTGGTTGCACCGACCACCTGCTCATCAGGTGGCCAGGAGGCCACATCCCACCCGCTCCCCAGCTGACCTTGCTGGCGATTGGCGACGACTGCTGCCCTGGCTGACAGAGGATCTGGATGCCACTCCTTGGGCGCTATGTGCAGATGTCACCCAGCGTTTCCAGGGACCTCAGATGTTTGCCGGATGGTGGGCACAAGGCAGGGGCACGTCCAGCCAGCTGGAGATCGTGGACCCTTGCCGATAAAGCACACTGGGAGGTGGACACTCCCAGCACTGACTTTCTGACAGACTCCTTTGATTCCCAGTCACATTTGACTGAGTGGCAGGAGAGACATATGACAGATGATGAGGAAGGGGAGTGGAGCTACATCCAAACATTTTGTGCCTTGCCCTGGCTTACCCTCAGCTAAACTGTTTATTCTACATGTCTACCACCTCCATGGGGTTCCACCGTGGATCATCTTGGACTGGGGGGTGTAGTATACCGCAAAGTTTTGGCAGGAGTTTGTTCACCTGATCGGTTCCTCCCAAGGCCTTAGCTCAGCATTCCACCAAGCACAAATGATGTGGAAGAAAGAGCAAATGCCATGGTGGAACAGTATCTTAGGTGTTACGTCACCTATCAGCAAACTGGGCAAAATCCTGTGATTTGTGGAGGTTGCATATAATAATGCATTACACAACAGTACCAGTTTTACCCCCTTCTGGGTAGTTAATAGGGTGGACTTAATAGGGTGGACTGAGTAACTCAAGCACCCTCCTGCCCCTAGTAGTTCAAAGGAGCAGATGGGGATGATAAAAGGATAGGGTTGCCAGGTCTGCTTCCAAAAAATAGCGGACAAGCGGGGGGGGGGGTGTTAAGTAGTAAAAAAAAATACAATTAAATTATATATTTTCTTACAAACATTTTAACACATATTAAAATAATCACTTCAAAACTTTACTTAAAATTCAAAACATCAAATATATTATAATAATATGTAAAATATTAAATTACATTTTACTTTGCTGTCGTCTGTATTTTTTATTTGACTGCGCAGCTTTGATCAATTCTTTGTGTTTAAGGAATAATTCTTTAATTTCAGTACAACATTGAGAAATATTAAAAAATATACAAAGTTCACTTCGAACTGATGGTACAAGCAGTTGGTTATGTTCGTCAGTCCACAAATTTCCCCGTGACGCTGAAAATTCGTTCAACATTTGCATTTGATACCGGAATTGATGCACAATACTGGAACAGTTTCAGTAAACTCGGAGCTGGCTCTTTCATTCTAACTTATGAAAAAAAAGACAAAACGCGATTCTCCTATCCTTATTCTCTTAGACTGTACAGCTTTAGATTACATACCATTTCATCATAAAGCTTTTGAATTAAAAAAATGTCCACTGTTTTGTGAAAAAAAATAGTGAACATAATGTGAAAAAAGCGGACTGTCTGCTCAAATAGTGGACACCTGGCAACTCTATAAAAGGAGTATGGAGAACTGTGAAAGTGGTGCTAAAGAAAGTGGCTGAGATCCATTAGGCTCAGGCCAACAAAAAATGGGCTCCCCACAAGCCGTTCCAGGTGGGAGGCTGGGTATAATCTCACAAAGAAATATCTAAGATTAAAAGTACCTAGCAAGAAACTGGGCCCAAAATATCTGGGCCATTTTCCAATGGTTAGGGTGATCAATCCAGTTACCGTAGAACTGAAATTTCCCTGGCTATTGAGCCGGGTTCACCCAATGTTCCACAGCAGCCTGCTAAAGCCAGTGGAAGAGTCCACTGCCGGGTCTTATGGCGGGGCACTATTACAAAATTGACTGGGCATTGGATTCCTGACTCATAGGAGCAAGCTACAATACCTGGTACAGTGGAAAGGATATCCCTCCACAGACACTTCATGGGTGGTGGACAAAGGGAGCCACACAGCTTCCACCAATGGTATCCCCACAAACCTGGATGGGGGAAATTGCTGGTCCTGCATGCCAGGTTGCCGTATCTAATGCCTGTGTTTACTATCTTCCAGGTGCACCTCTGGTAGAGTGTAGCCACCTGTCGAACCCCAGTCCTCCATACTTGGCAGGTGGGTGGATGGCTGAGTGAAGCGAGCAGCAACCAAGGCTATGGCAGCAGCAGCTACTTCCAGCTGTGCTGACCATCTGTTCATCATGTGTCCGGGCTGCTTCTGGTTGCACCGACAACTTGCTTGTCGGGCGGCCGGGAGGCCATGTCCCACCTGTTCACCAGATGAGCTTGCTGGTGATCAGTGACGAGTGTTGCTGCAGCCAAAAGAGGTTCCAGATGCCATTCCTCGAGCGCCCTGTGCAGATGTCACCTAGCACTTCCAGGGATCTCTGACATTTGCCAAATAGTGGCTACAGGGCAGGGGCATGTCCAGCCAGCTGGAGGGCATGGACCCTTGCTGATAAAGCAAGCTGGGAGGCAGATGCTCCCAGCACTGACTTTCCAACAGACTCATTCGACTCGCATTCACTGAGTACCGAGGCTCCGGCCTGATTTAAGGGGTTTTTTTGCTTTATGGTTCCAGAGCATTCTTGCTTCAGTTCTACCCAGGTCTGGCCTTGGACCTTTGAAACTGGATATTTTTTAGTCCTTTTGGAAAGTAAGGAGCGAAAGTACTTGACTTGTAGTATACTTGCTTCTGGAATTCAGATAAAACATAATGGAAAGGAAGATATGTTACCAAAATATGAAATAACTAAAATGAAAAGGAGAAAACTAATTCCCTATGCCCTTCCAGTACTTGTTGGATTGAAACCTATATCCATGGTTTGCAGGCATATTGGTATATATCAATATAAGGCATATTGGTATATATCAATACTAGTTTGATTTAGTTAAATAAAAGACCAAAGGTTAAATTTACAAGTGTGCAAAATGTGAAAGAATGAGGTAGAGTTGTGACTCCGACCCCCGAGCCCGTCTTATCAGAGGGAGAAGACTTCGAAAGTGAAGGAGAGGAGTTGGCAAGGCCTCCCTCTCTAGGACCCTCCTCTCTGGCAATGCCTCAGGTGTCCTCCAAAGGCCAAGAGATAGGCCAGGAGCCAGGCACTTCCAAGCAGCTGCAGTTAGACAGTGACGGAGATGAATCTTGGCTGGATCCCCGACAGCGTCAGAAAGATAAGCGCGTGCAGCAGAGAAAGAGGCATGCCAGAGATTAAGCTGAGTCACTGGACCACGCCCCACAGGCGATAAAAGGGGGTGTGGTGGCCATTCAGGCCTTGTGACGGACAAAACTGAAAAGCTAGCAAGTCATACTGCGTTTCTGGAACTTCGTTATATGCCCTCCTTGGATTTATTATGGACTGGACTTGACAATTCTTTGGCTTTGTGGACTTATTTTGGTGTATCGGGAGAGGAGAAAAACCTCCCTTTGTGAGTAAAGTCTTTGGCAGGCAGCTACTGGGTTGCTGCCAATTCTGTTATCTCCAAGGAATTCCTGACTGCTGGTTTTATTAACTCCTGGCTGATTGTTTGTGTGCGTGTATGAGATGGGGACAGAACAGATAACCTGGCAATATCAAATAATACTATGATATTATTGCCATTCTTTAACTTGGACTACAGATTGGATTATATCAACTACTAGTAGCTGGATACCCATGCTTTGCTATGAAACTATGTGATCGGGCTTGATAAATTGACACTTAAAGCTTGAAAATTTATGTAGAATGTGTAACTCCTTAGCATTAGAGTGTGTTAATAAAAGGCAACTGGCAGTTGGAACAGAGTTCTTTTCAGGTGGGGAGGGGGAGTGGAATGTCTAAACTCCCAGCCTGCAGGCTGGATGAGTCACGAACTGGCCATGCCCACACCCAGTTTAGCAAAGGGGTAGCATCAGAGCATGTTGATATAAAGCAACTTGCAGTTGAAACAGAGTTCTTTTCAGGTGGGGAGGGGGAGTAGAGCATCTAACTCCTTAGCATCAGAGCATGTTAATATAAGAAATATATTATAAATATATACTAATGATCTGATGGTCATTTCGAAAAAGCCTTTCTTAGCAAGCACCTAGAAGCCAAGAAGAACATATGTGCCAAGTTTCAAGTTTGTAGGCTTTACAGTTCTGGAGATTTCATGATGAGTGAGTGGTATTTGGCTTTTATAAATATAGTTGAGGATGCCCATTCATTTGGTTGTCACAGAAACCAAACAGGGCAGGTACAGACTTCAATGGATAGTTAGAATTGCAGAAAAAACCAATTGCAACCATCCTGTGTTCCATTGAGGACCTGTATATTGCACAGATCAGGAGGATGGACTGAGAAAATATCTACAGACCCCTCACATTCTGGACGTAAACTATTTCAACTTCTATCCTCAGGACACTGCTACAGGACACTGCCTGCCAAAACAATCAGACACAAAGATAGCCTTTTCCCTATTGTCATCACTCTGCTAAACACCTAATGCCCACAGCACTGTTTATGTGTAAAGATATTTACCAATGTAGTAGGGCTGAATTGCTATTATCTTTCTCATCTTTCTCATCCTCTTATCTTTCCTACTACCTTCTTCTATTGGTATCTTATGATTTATCATTTGTTTATATCTTATGATTGTATCTTATGATCTATGACTTAACGTTTGTTGTTTGTATGTACACTGAGAGCTTGTGCATCGGACACAAATTCCTTCTGTGTTCAATCACACTTGGCCAATAAAGAATAAAGATTATGAGATAAGACCTCTGCAAAGCTAGAGGAGGGTTATGGTGCATATCGAAGCAAAACCATGTTCTTACATTGCTCATCCTATCTTATCTTCATACCATCATGACTTCATTGATCCAATTTTTCTTCCATTTCCTACGAGGAAAAGACTAGGGAAATGTGGGGGTGAGTTTCCTTCCTTAATCAGGACCAGTCACATTTAATCCTTAAAATTTGTGGTCCATTTTCCATATTCCATATCAAATTCTGAATTTGTTTCTGAACATGATTACACTTACATTAATATTTGTAAGAAAGACAGTAAATTAAGGACAGAAATAACAACAACGACAATGACAATGACAACGATGACAACAACAACAACAACAATAATAATAAATATTTCATGTTGGGAAACCATGGTCATTTTTTCTTCTATATCTAGCTCACCTCATTTCTGAGGGCTCCAAATTTGTGTTTCTACTACAATAATTTCTGAAATTGTTTCTGAATTATTACACTTATATTAATATTTGTAACAAAGACTGTAAATTAAGCAAATATTTTTTTTAAAAAAATATTTCAAGTTGGGAAACCATGGTCCTTTTTTCTCCTATGTCTAGCTCACATATGGATCTTCCCCATTGATAGATGGCAAGATACAAGGTGCTTTCTTTCATCGTTTTTTCCCAAATGTTGACCAACAGATCATGGGTATTCTCCAGTTGCTATTGTATTTTAGGTGGTTATGGATTGGACTGATTTCCCAACCTGATAGGAGTGGAGAGAGATTCATACAAAATGCTATTCCTTTGTATTCCAAGAAAGGTATCTGCTTTGACTTCATGGAAGAGATGGCCAAGGAAACATTTGCTGATGATATTGCAGGAGCATTTCAAGACTTTGGTAAAATGTATATGATTATCATGAAGAGCACTGCCAATGTCATTATCCTCTATTGTGAAAACCAGGTCACTGTCATTTTTAGAATGTTGCCCTATTTTACAGAATTGGAAGAGATGCCCATCGAGAGAAAAGATAAAGTTTGGATAATGCCAGCCCAGATGGAGTTTACATCCCTTCCCTTTCAAAAAACCAGGGGTATGGAAGTGTTCCATGGTGTTATAACTTTTGCAATTTCTTCCAAGGAGATTTCTGGATTCGATAAATTCCTTCAGATGATAAAGCCAACTTCAGTAGAGGAAGACCATTTAATGAGAGTGTTTTGGGAACAGGCTTTTGAATGTTCTTTTCCTAAAGATAATTTAGATGAAGACACTGGAACGATGTGCACTGGAGAAGAGAAGTTAGAGAATTTACCTAGGTCTGTGTTTGACACCATCCTGACTGGGCAGAGTTACAGCATCTATAATGCAGTCTATGGTGTGGCACATGCTTTACAAGCCATGCTTTCCCCCAAGTCCAAACACAGAGCAAGGACAGAAGTTGGGAGAGAAACATTGTTGACTCAAAAAGTATGGCAGGTAAAAAAAAAAATGAATGAACATTTCCCACTGCTCTTTTGTATGATGCAATGAGCTGTTATGTAACACAGTCAATTAGAACAGTGAAGTGTTCTCATTGACTGCATTGGGGATAATTTTCAGTCTCCTGCCAAAACATTTTCCCCATCACTTAGTGACTTAGAGAAACTTTTGTGGTTGTGAATAGATAAAAATGCTACAACAATAGGAAAGAAAAGTTGAGATGCAGCAGCACTGGCATGATTGGCAGAAGTTCAAAATGTCTGTGGCAGAGAAGAAATATGAATGGGATGGAGGAACAATAATTATATTAATGAAGCACATCCTATGAAATCAATATCCCAAACTGAATACTATCTATCTGTCTGTCTGTCTGTCTGTCTGTCTGTCTGTCTGTCTGTCTGTCTGTCTTTCTATCTATCTATCTATCTATCTATCTATCTATCTATCTATCTATCTATCTATCTATCTATCTATCTATCTATCTATCTATCTACCTACCTACCTACCTACCTACCTACCTACCTACCTACCTACCTACCTTCTTTTTCTTTTTTCTGTTTATTACTTTTTCCATTAATTGTCATTCTTTGCTTCTGTTTAGCTCCATCACTATTTGAGAACCATCTCATTTAATAACACTGCAGGAGAGAAAATTTCTTTTAATGAAAATGGGGATCTAGAGACTGGATTTGACATTATCAATTGGGTCACATTCCCAAACGAGACATTTGCTAAAGTCAAAGTTGGAAAAATTGCCCCTCCTGCTTCTCCAGATAAGCAGTTTACCATTTTTGCACAAGACATCATTTGGCCTGCCATGTTTAACCAGGTATTTCCTGCTCAGATTTCAACCTGTGGACAAATTGTCCTCGACTTACGATCACAATTGAGCCCAAAATTTCTGTGGTTAGGTGAGACATTTGTTAAATGACTTTTGCTCCATTTTATGACCTTCCTTGCCAGAGTCATTAAGTGTATCACAGCAATTGATAAATTAGAAACTTGGTTGTTAAGTGAATCTGGCTTCCCCATTGAATTTGCTTGTCAAAAGATTGCAAAAGGTGATCACATGACCTTGGGACACAGCAATGGTCATAAGTACAAACCAGTTGACAAGCATCTAAATTTTTATCACATGGTCATGGGATGCTACAAAGGTTATAACTGAAAAATGGTCATAAGTCTCTTTTTTCAGTGCCAATGTAACTTTGAATGGCCATTAAATGAACCGTTGTAAATTGAGGACTATTTGTACATTGTTTCCCTTCCATTCTTGCTTTTGACATTATAAATTTGAATTGACCTTGTCCTTCATGTTGTCTGGTTGAAAACTGCAAAGATGAAGGAACAATGGGGTAGGTAGCATTCAGGAGTAGAATGATGAAATGATGCTTTAAAACAAAATGAATCAATCAAAGAATAATGAAATGCTGAATACAAAAATCAAAACTGTACTGGTTGCATGGTTGGATGTTTGGTTGGGTGGGTGGGAGGATGGATGTTGTAATAACAAGTTATAGTAAATGTTGCTTTCATTTCTTGATAGGTTCAACCTCTTTCTTTGTGCAATGACAGTTGCTGTCCAGGCTACAGGAAGATGAAAATAGAAGGGAAGCCATTTTGCTGTTACAATTGCCTTCCATGTGCAAAAGGGAAAATTTCAAACCAGATGGGTAAATTGTCTTGTGCAAGACTAAGTTATTCAGTCTTTTTAACTGTGATTCAAATGCTAATATTTAAAACCTCCTGTAATTGTCTAATCTGGTGACCAAGTCAATGATATTGCTACATAAATACTAAAAGTGAAAAGATATTTCACAGCATCTAAAAATAAATATCCAATTTGATTTGTTCTAATTTTTTCTCCAAATTATGACTTCTGATTAATGCTTATTTTGTAAGACGACAGATCTTCCGTTGATGTCTGTGTGTAAAAGTGGAAAAAGATAAAACTGGTATCCATTTGCTGGTTTTAGGAGCTTAATTCCTAAAATAAAATACCATGAAATATATATTTCTCCCCTCCTCCAAAAACTAAACATGTTTTTTTCACTTTGTTTAGGAAATACCTTAATGATAAAAATATTGTTATTCAATTCATTATTAGATTTTACAATAAGAGAGTCCGTACAACCAACCAGAAATAAATTTCAGAAGATCTGGCCTATTTACAAAAACGCACTAAATATAAGCAGCCATTACTTAATAAAATGAATCCATGTACTAAGAAAGTATATCTGGTGGGAACGAGAAAAGGGGCCTTCTCTGTGATGGCCCCCTCCCCTTGAAAGATCATCCACACAGAAATGAGACTGGCCCCCAGTTTGACACTCATTTGAAAGGCCCTAAAAACATGGTTCCACCAACGGACCTGGGGAACCCAGACTAGGATGGAGTCCTTAAAGAGGCTCATTTGAAGTGTGTTGTTGCCGATGTATGTGGGTTTCTGTTTTTAATTCATTCATATTGGACTTTTTATTGTCTTTAAGCTGCCCAGAGTCACTGAGAATGAATGGGCAGCCATATAAATTTTAAATAAATAAATAAACCCTGTTAATTAATTCTCAATCCCACTATCTGAGTATTTCGGGAAATTGGCCATGATGTTTTCTTTTTCCAGATGCAGTTGATTGCTTCCAATGTCCAGAAGATCAATATCCAAACAAGGCTCAAACTCTATGCATTCTAAAAGAAATAACTTTCTTGTCTTACAATGAGCCACTGGGACTCACCTTGACCACTGTTAGTCTTTTCTTTTCTGTCATCGCCATTGCGGTGCTGGGAATCTTCATTAAAAAGCAGGACACCCCCATTGTCAAAGCCAACAACAGGAACCTCACTTATACCCTTCTCATTGCCCTTCTGCTCTCCTTCCTTTGTGCTTTCCTCTTCATTGGGCAACCTGACCAAGTGAAATGTCTCATGAGACAAACTGCTTTTGGTATCATTTTCTCCATAGCCCTTTCTTGTATTTTGGGTAAAACAACCATAGTTGTTTTTGCTTTCATGGCCACAAAGCCAGGCTCAAAAATGCAGAAATGGGTGGGGAGAAGGATGGCTATTTCTATTGTCCTTTCTTGCTCCTTGAGTCAACTCCTGATCTGTTTAGTGTGGCTGGCAATTTCTCCTCCATTCCCAGATTCTGACATGCACTCCATGGCTGAAGAAATTGTTCTGGAATGCAATGAAGGTTCAGCCACCATGTTTTACCTTGTCCTTAGCTTTATGGGGTTCTTGGCTTCTATTAGCTTCACAGTGGCCTTTTTTGCCAGGAAGTTACCTGACAGCTTTAATGAAGCCAAATTTATCACCTTTAGCATGTTGGTCTTCTGTAGTGTCTGGATATCATTTGTTCCAACCTACTTGAGTACGAAGGGCAAATATATGGTGGCTGTGGAGATTTTCTCAATTTTGGCTTCTGCAGCTGGATTACTGGGCTGCATATTTTCCCCCAAATGTTACATCATTATTTTGAGACCTGATTTAAACACAAAGGGACATTTAATAAAGAAATAAATTTGAATATGGAGTTTAATCTGCTCATTATTCATTTTAAGTTTCTCCCTATTAGAGCACAACTTTCAGGTATTGTTACATGCTCGAGCTTGTTGAATCTCAAATCTGTACAATAAATGTAAACATACGTACACCATCTTTTATCAAATATATCCGACACATAGTAAGGAGGAGAATTCAGGTCTTTAGCCAGGAAAGACCTAACATGTTCTATCAAGTGAACTAACTCTCATTCCCTTGAGGACAATTGCTACTTAGAGGGGCAGATAAAGTTTTCCATAAGTAACGTGATTGGTTTAAGATCTTTATGCTGACAGAAATCCTAAAAATCTTGATTACCTACAGCATTACATTTTGAAGAGCCAAAACTCACAATTTCTTTTCCTTTGGTCTTCTGAATTGGCAGATATTTTTCAAGTAATTTGTTGACCTAGAGACTTAATATGGTCTATATCAGTGATGGGTAAGCTTTTTGCCATCGTGTGCCAGGAGGGGTGAGCGGGGTGTATGTGTCACGTGCACGTGTGCCCACACCCATAATTCTATGTGCCCCGTGCATGCGCATGTGACCCGCCCCCGCTCCTGCCACGCAATGGCCCAGTAGGCTCATTTTTCCCTGTCATCTGGCTCCAGAGCCTTTCTAGGAATCTGGGGAGAGTGGAAACAGCCTTTCCCACCCCCCGGAGGCCCTCCGGAGATTGAAAATGGTCTGTTTGCCAACTTCCTGTCCCACCGGAAGTTTGCAAATGGGCCGTTTCTGGCCTCCAGGGGTGGTGGAGAAGGCCATTTTTGCCCTCCCCAGACTCCTAAAAGGCTCTGGAGGCTGGGGACAGCAAAAAAATGGGTCTTCCCCACCACCACCTTCCAAGGCCCTCCACAGCCTGTTTCCCTACTTCTGGTGGGCCCAGAAGGCTGTGCCAGAGTTGAGCTCACATGCCCAGTGATATGGCTACGCATTCTAGGCTTCATAAACAGAGGGTTAGACTCAAGATCACGTGAAGTGTTAACACCACTTTATAATGTCTTGGTAAGGCCACACTTGCAATACTGTATCCAGTTTTGGTCACCACGATGTAAAAAAGGTATTGAGATTCTAGAAAGAATGCAGAGAAGAGCAACAAAGATGATTCGGGGACTGGAGGCTAAAACATATAAAGAACGTTTGCAGGAACTGGGTATGTCTAGTTTTATGAAAAGAGGGACTAGGGGAGACTTGATAGCAGTCTTCCACTATCATAGGGGCTGCCACAAAGGAGAGAGTCAAGCTATTCTCCAAAGGACCTGAGGGCAGGACAAGAAGCAACGGGTGGAAGCTAATCAAGGAGAAAAGCAACTTAGAACCAAGAAGAAATTTCCTGATGGAACAATTGATCAGTGGAACAACTTGCCTCCAGAAGTTGTGAATGCTCCAGCACTGGCAAATTTTAAGAAAATGTTGGATAACCATTTGTCTGACATGGTGTAGGGTTTCCTGTCTAAGCAGTGGGTTGGAATAGAAGACCTCCAAGGTCCCTTCCAACTCTGTTATTCTATTCTATTCTATTCTATTCTATTCTATTCTATTCTATTCTATTCTATTCTATTCTATTCTATTCTATTCTATTCTATTCTATTCTAATTCTATAGAATGCCACTTCTGTATATTGGTTTTACTTCATCACATGGCAACCAAAGAGCCCACCTAGCAGACTCATCTAGCTGTTACAGAGGAACCAACACCATATGAATACAGCAGAACACCACATAACAGGAACCCAGGGCAGGATCTCTCCCCAAATCACCACTGAATGGAATGTACCCCAGGAAAAAGGTGGCAAAGCAGCATAACACAATGTTGCCCATTCTAATCATGTGAGTTGATACAGAAGGGAAGAATGGTTGCTTGTTTTGAAAAGCACATTGATCTAAAAAATGGGGGCCTGACCTCAAAGACCTAAAGATCTATCCATTTCTTCAGGCTCCATGGGTTCAAATGATTCCTAGATTCCTAGAGCAAGACTCCTCCAAAGGCATCAGCCCCCCACCTGGACCTGTAATAAGGCCGACCGCAACTGCGAACATATTTCAGCAAGTTTTGTCTGATAGATGCAAATTTGATTTGAAGTCTCATCTTTGAATCTTATTCCAAATAGTGAACAGTGCTTCAGATGAACCATGCAGCATGAACAACCCCCCAGCTCCCCCTGAAACCCATCCAGATCCAGTTCAGTAAACATGGGGTAGAATAATCTAATGGGCACATTCTCCCTGAAGTGGTGGTAGAGAATTTCATAATAATAAGGGCACGAGCTGACTATGATAAGGGAATCACAAAGATAGCCCTCAATTCCATATCAGAGAGCTACAGGAACACCAGATCCTGTGGGTGGCCATTGCCCTATTCAGGCTCTGGATGATCTGGGATAGATCTATGGCTGTCATGATGTCCTTTGACTTCTGACCCTCATTGTACTCCACTCTTAGAGAAGGCCGATTGAAGTCTCCCATGAAATGGATTCAACTAATCAGAGATAGAAGTTGCTCTTAGTAAATAATTAAAAGGAGGGGAAAAGATTTTCAGAGCACTAGGCAGTCCCAAAGCTGTTTGCTCCTTTATGCCCACAAGGAAGGCTGCTGAGCCTTCCTTTCATGTCTTTCCAGTGGTGAGGAGGGTCCACCTCACTTACAGTATGGGGGGAGAATATTCCACAGGATTGGGTCAACAATAGAGAAGGCTCTCTTACTGGATTCCACCAGTATGAATCTTTTGGCTGACAGAATCCCCAACATACTTTTCCTGCTTGATATGATGGGACAGGCAATGGGATGAAGACCGTTCCTTAGGTAACCATGCTCTATGCCAAGTTACACACTGCAATGTCCCACAATCATACAATTGTCATCTTTGAGAAGGAAAATCAATGGGGAAGTGAGTGGGAAGTTACAAATTGAAATCTCAAGACCACAGAATGCTGCCACTTCACAGGATTATTCTCATAATGTGCCAGAAATGCTGTGACGTAAATTGAACACATCTCTTAGTTCTTGGTCCCAATTAATTTCTGTGAGTGAGATTACTTAGATTTTCTTTCTCAAGCTCATGCTTGAACAGAAATAAAACATGAAAAAAATATTAAGGGCCATATTTCAAACTTTATCAAATTCTGATTCAGATTGAACCTTAACATCTATCACTGACATAAAATCTTCTGCAGGTCATGCACTCTGCAACCCTGTGCTAGGATGAAATGGCAGGTCCCAGGTTAGAAATGGCCTTTAGATTGATGGTCTAGGGTATAGTGGCAACCTTATACCTAATGAGAAAGTAAAAGAGCAAGGGATCCACATAGATTGGTGGCCCTATTTACAAATTAAATCCCGTTATAGTAAGGATAAACAAGAAAAGAGAATAGAGATGGGGACAAATAGTTTGGATAAGGTATGGCTAGGTAGTGAGAACAAACTATTAGCTAAATTATACTCCTACCTTCTCGAATACGACAGAGAAGGAGAAATATTAAAAGACGAAATTATTGCTTGGGGGAAAAACATTGAATCTAAGATAAATCTTGATGATTGGGAAGAAATATGGAATAGCAATCTTAAACTGACGAGAGCAACAAGTTATAAGGAGAATCAGTATAAGATGCTATATAGATGTTACCTAGCACCATCTAGAATTGCTAAGATCTACCCAAATGCAAGCCCCAAGTGTTGGAAATGTGGTCACCACCAAGGTACCTTCTACCACATGTGGTGGATGTGTCCGGAAGCAAGGAAGTTTTGGGAAAAAATACAAAAATGGATCCAAGAAATATTAAAGGAGGACATTAACTTCCTCCCGGAAATCTATCTCCTGGGAATGCTAAAACGAGCATTTGGAAAGGACAAGAAATACCTGATTATTCATATTGTCACAGCTGCTAGACTATGCCAGATATTGGAAAGAGAAAAAAGGACCAACCGAGGAACAGATAGTCAATAAGATACTTGACTGCGCAGAAATGTGCAGATTAACATATGTGTTAAACGGAAAGGAGGATTCAGAATTTTATGCGATCTGGGATCTGTGGTATAGGTGGTTAGAAATTAAATGCAAAAGTTAATACTCATGTGGAATAATGCACAACGATTAGATAACCCTATATATTATTGTACTTTAATTAAACAGTAATCAATTTTACTCATAAGAAGTTTTGTACAAACTGTATAAATGATTAGATAATTGACTAGATACCGCACTTGTAAATATACAATATGACTACACGTTGCCGAACCGTTTAGTTTGAATTGTAATATGTTCTTAATTCAATAAAATTGCATTTTAAAAAAAAAAAGACATGAAAAAAATATTAAGGGCCATATTTCAAACTTTATCAAATTCTGATTCAGATTGAACCTTAACATCTATCACTGACATAAAATCTTCTGCAGGTCATGCACTCTGCAACCCTGTGCTAGGATGAAATGGCAGGTCCCAGGTTAAAAATGGCCTTTAGATTGATGGTCTAGGGTATCTTAATCATCCATGTTACTAAATGACTTGCAAAATATCTGCTATTCAGAGAAACAGGTCAAGAAGTTTTGAATTTCCACTGTTCAGAATCTACAATTGTGAGCACTCAGGTATTATATGTAACTTTTCATTCCTGTTAGCAAAATGATTCTGTAGAAGATTTTTTTTTATTCTTAATAGCAATTTTCCTTTAGAGAACCAACGTTATTGTCACTTCATAGAATGCTATAAATTTTTCCTAATTATGAAACTCTGCGCATGATTTTTCCTCTTGAACATGTTTCAGAGATGTTTGATATAAGATTGGGTTGAAACGATGATGACACAAAGCTATGTTCAGATTTACAGTACTGAAACTCCAGCATGCAATGAACCCTACATTTTTTGTTGGAGTGGGGGGAAATAGCACAGAATCAGTGAGAAAATTGAACTTCATATTCAGAGTTATTTCTTGATTAATTGCCCCTTTATATTCAAATCAGGCCTCAGAACAATAATATAACAT